CTGGAAGAGTAAAAGGCCTGTCATTGCCTAAAAAGTCACAAACTCTTACAAAAATATGTATATATCTTCTAAACATTTCCTTAAACTAAGCCTTTCCTGTGGCATTTGACTTGACTTGTAGTAAGAAAAAAGTATGTGTACCTCTAAAATAATAATAATAACAATCATAATAGTTATAAGGGTAAAAACATACAGTAGAAATAAAAATTATAAAACTATGAAATTCATACTGTTCCAGGCCAATTCTTTTTATCATCTACAAAATTTGGACTCAATCCATGTTTTTACAACACTTTTCAGTCAGAAGGATAACTTGCAATAAAAATCAACTATTTTCTGACCAATCCTTAGTTTATCTATATAATATTCACCATTTTTTTTTCAGGTCTATGTCACAGACAAAAATATAAAGAATTCTAATATGTAAACAAATAATTTACTTTCTATAGGTCAACACAATAAATATTAAATGTCAGATGACCTAACACTCACAACTATGGCTAAATGAATTACAGCTGACCCTACTATACTCTGTCAAGTCAGACTTCTTTTACTTGGCATGCAAATTTCACCACAAGGGGCTCCTGGTCCTACTGATAGGAGATAATGCCAATGCCAGGCATATCATGCAGCAAACAATGTTCTGCCAAAGAAATATAGAATGCCTGGTGTCAGCAGGGGAAGAGAAAGAGGAGAGGGAGAGAAAAAAAGGAGAAGGGGAGAAGGAGAGAGGAAGAGTGGGAGAGAGGAAGAGGAGAGGGGGGGAGAGGGAGAAAGAGAAAGAGAGAAGAGAGAGAGAGAGAGAGAGAGAGAGAGAGAGAGAGAGAGAGAGAGAGAGAGAGAGAGAGAGAGAGAGAGAGAGAGAGACATAGAGAGAGAGAGACATAGAGAGAGAGAGACATAGAGAGAGAGAGAGAGACATAGAGAGAGAGAGAGAGAGAGAGAGAGAGAGAGAGAGAGAGAGAGAGAGAGAGAGAGAGAGAGAGAGAGAGAGAGAGAGAGAGAGAGAGAGAGAGAGAGAGACATAGAGAGAGAGAGAGACACATAGAGAGAGAGAGAGACACATAGAGAGAAAGAGAGACACATAGAGAGAAAGAGACACACATAGAAAGAGAGACACACACATAGAGAGAGAGAGAGACACACACATAGAGAGAGAGAGAGAGAGAGAGAGAGAGAGAGAGAGAGAGAGAGAGAGAGAGACATAGAGAGAGAGAGAGACATAGAGAGAGATAGAGACATAGAGAGAGAGAGAGACATAGAGAGAGAGAGAGAGACATAGAGAGAGAGAGAGAGAGAGAGAGAGAGAGAGAGAGAGAGAGAGAGAGAGAGAGAGAGAGAGAGAGAGAGAGAGAACATAGAGAGAGAGAGAGAGAGACATAGAGAGAGAGAGAGAGAGAGAGAGACATAGAGAGAGAGAGACATAGAGAGAGAGAGAGAGAGACATAGAGAGAGAGAGAGAGAGAGAGAGAGAGACATAGAGAGAGAGAGAGAGAGAGAGAGAGAGAGAGAGAGAGAGAGAGAGAGAGAGAGAGAGAGAGAGAGAGAGAGAGAGAGAGAGAGAGAGACATAGAGAGAGAGAGAGAGAGAGAGAGAGACATAGAGAGAGAGAGAGAGAGAGAGAGAGAGAGAGAGAGAGAGAGAGAGAGAGAGAGAGAGAGAGAGAGAGAGAGAGAGAGAGAGAGACAAAAGTTAAGATGACAACTCAACATGCTACAGTTTGCTGTAGTTTGCTTGGCAGCCACCAATGAGAGCATTGCTGTTGGATGCAAGAAATCTGAGTGGAAGGCTAACACCCCTTTCTGTCTGGCAGAGTTCATACAGTTGGATCACTCAACCAATAACCTTTGAGAAATTTGAAGCCACATTGCAATATGTGGCCAGTAAGTGTAGAGGAGGATGTTGGCTCCAACATGTCATTTTATTTTTGTCAACATTAATTTAGATAACAAAGATTTTCTGCATTAGTTTATTTTATTACCATCTAAATACACACATTTCTCTGACCTATTAAAAATCTGCCCCAAAATATACATAATATGTGCCTCCCAACCCAGAGGTCACTGTAAAACTGTAAAAACATACATCAAATGTGTGTGGGTGGGTATATGTGTGTGTGTGTGGGTATATGTGTGTGTGTGTGTGGGTATATGCATGTATGTGTGTGTGTGTGTGTGTGTGTGTGTGTGTGTGTGTGTGTGTGTGTGTGGTGTGTGTGTGTGTGTGTGTGCGTGTGCGTGTGCGTGTGCATATATATATATATATATATATATATATATATATATATATATATATATATATATATATATACATATATATATAACATATATATATAATATATAATATATAATAATATATATATATATATATATATATATATATGCATATATATGTATGTATATATATACATATATATATACTATATATATATATATACATATATATTATATATATATATAGTATATATATATATATGCATATATATATATATATATATATT